CTTGCTGTTCCCTCTGATGCTTCCTAATTAGCTGGTATTCTCACATCAATAGAGCATAAGTGGGACTCCATTTGTTACTTGTTGTTCTTCCTGAGGAAAAGGACAGATTTAAGCTGACCCTTTATCCACACAGGAGCTATGCAGGGCAGCAGGGTTACTGTCTCTAAAATTTTGAAAGGAAGCAAGGATGGAGCATGTAGGATCTTGGGCTAGAATCTCATGAGAAGCTAACCAAGGGAGCCAAGCAGGCAACAGCAGCAAGAGTTAGAGTTTCTTTCCAATGGCCAAATGACATCTAAATAGTGATAATTTGGCTCAGGACATGTTTCCATGCCATAGAAACTGCAACAATAGGTTCAATTTCACTATAGACTAGTGAGTTGTGCTCCATCCATGACCAATGACTGTATTCCAGAGCAATGTACATAAAAGGTGCTGAATTAAATATTTATTATTCAGCAAGAATAGTAGGAAAAAAAAACACAAAAAAACCCCCCAACAGCGAATACCCACACCACTATGCCAGCGTAGAAGAGGCAGTACAATATGGTCTATCTAGCTTTTATCTCACTCTAAATATAGGATTTAACTGTAATCACACACACACACACACACACACACACACACACACCAGTCATTAGCTCTGCAGATGGAGGAACTATATCTTACTTAAGTGTGTATTCGTATAATGCCCAACACGGAGCTAGATAGATTTCAGGTGTTGATGTTTTCTGAATTGAATTATATTTGTGTGAAGACTGCATTTGCAAGCCTGGCGTGGGAGTTAGGAAGATGTTGTCTAGTAACTCACCATTCCTTTCCCTGAAGGCTCTGTAAATCAAGCTTTTAAAAAAAGCAGCAAGCAAAATTCCAAAACCCTCTCTGAGGAGAAATGCCCATGGCTGGTGGGGTCTGGACTATGTCCACTGAATGTGCAGATCTCTTCTGCACAAACATCGCCTGCTCCCAGGGGAGCCCGTGACTGGCTGGCTGGCTGTGGAGACTCAGGCGTTCCCTCTTTCCCAATGGCAGGGGGGTCAGGGGAAACGGGTGGGAGTTGAGTGATGAAGCATGGCTGAACTAAATGTTCTCCTCTTCCCAGGCAAAATAAAGTCTCACAACAGGGGGAGGGCTGCCACTTTTCTAGAGGAACAACCCTGAGGAGCAGGAGTTGTAGGTGAAAATTGTCTTTTCTGAGCAAAAGTTTTTCTTTTTTCCTTTCTCTTTTTCCTTTTAAGACTTTTTCTTAAAAACGTTTTAGGCTCACAACAAAATTGAGCTGAAGGTACAGAGATGTCCCACATAACCCTGTCCCCACAGGTGCACATTCTCCTCCATATCAACATTCCCCACCTGAATGGTATATTTATTATATTTGATGGACCAGCATGGCCAAATCACTAACACTGAAAATCCATGGTTTCCAGTAGGGTTCACCCATAGTGTGCATTCCAGAGGTTTGGATAAATGTATAAAAATATGTATCCACCGAGATACTATCATTAGTGTAGTTTCACTGCCTTAAAACTCCTCTGTGCTCTGCCCTCCCTCCCCATTAACTCCTGGCTACCACTCATCATTTTTGTTTCTCTTTTAAAGGGCTGTCCTCACATCCTCTCTTACCTTGGATTGGTGCTATTGGAAGGGCTACGCCAGAGCTGTGCTGAACTATCACAAACTGGGATCAGACTTGACTAGGGAGGGGCAGTAGGGATATGGTTTGAGGAGCCATAAGGCTAAGATGCTCATTTTTTTTTCTGAATTTACCCAAGAGCTCTAACAAAAACAAAAACAAAAACAAGACTTTTTTTGTTAATAAGATCCTTTCCTGAAATGTACTGAGCTGGGTTTAAAGAACCAGAATAGAAATTAACTTATTTTTCTGGGAGACAACCAAAACACAACTCACTAATTCCTTAAGCTCTCTTTAAGATTTAATCACAATACAAAATCCACAAGTTTATATTGGCAGTATGCGTTATCAACTGCGCAACTCTCTGAAGCGGCAACCAATGGGTTCCCAGCTTTGTGTTCATTACACATTTTAGGGGACTGATGGCTCTGTCTGTCAGATTGGTGCCCAGGGCCTAGCCTTCTAAATTCTGTCCAGGCGAGACTTAGGATACACTCCCAGCTGCCAACTTCTCTACTTATAAGGTACAGAATTTATTATAACAAAGAAAGAAAGAAAGAAAGAAAGAAAGAAAGAAAGAAAGAAAGAAAGAAAAGAAAGCCTGCTACCTTTTAAGAGTGCTTTTTATATGTGGTTTCTCTATTAGAGCTCAGTGTTTCCAGAAATACAGCTGCTCAGTTCATTTGAGACTCTGTGCTGAATCCATAGAACCTGTTTTAGTTTCCTATGGTCTTCTATGAGCTCTGCTGCCATCATGTATCACTGGAGGTCTTTTGTGCCAGGCTTTTAAAGGAAGTCACTGGCAATAACTCTTATGGGAGAACAAAGTCATGGGAACTTGCATCTTTAATGTATATATGGCAGTGTAAAAGTAGATGGAGGGTTGATTAGGAATCCAGGATTGTCCAACTCTGGAAATGAAGCTTGTCTAGTCATCCAAAGACCTTTTCTAGACTGTTTCTTCTTTTCAATTTCCCAATAGGCCTGTTTTTATCTTCTTATTTAATTCAAAGGCAAAATTCTCTCTAGGCCCCTGCAAAGACACCTAAGAGAATGCTGCAAGAAACAGTATGGCTCAGTGAAAAGAAAAGGAAAGTTAAAGCTGGAAAATCCTGAGATTTCCAGCTCTGGCTACTTGTTTGGCCTGGTATATTCACTTAATAACCCCCTAGGACCTTAGTTTCTCTTCAGAAAAGTAAATTTGAAAGTTATATTTAACTTACCAGGCTTTCTTCAGAGCAGTTTTGGAAAACTGCAATTATCTTTTTCATATGTTTATGTATTTTCCACTTCTCAGTACACAGCATTAAATTATAAGCTCCAAGAGTTCAGGGACCTTGTCTTTTTGGTTTACCACAGTGACTGATTGCCAGGAATAGCGACCAGTACATAGCATATGATCAAGAAGAGAGAATGAAATTAGAATGAAGGAAGGAAAGAATAGAAAGGAAAAAGGAAAGATAGATCGAAAGGGGTGACAGAATTTTAGAACGTTGTTGATCCACAATTTATAAAAGTGATCTGTAAATATTTTTTAATGTAAATGTTTTTAAAATACATTATTAAAGTAACTAATATTTGATGCATTAATTATGCTAGGTTGTAAAAATGTAAGTTGGATCTTGTTACTTCCATAATTAAAGCCCTCCAATGGCTTTCTTTACTACTTATAATTGAAGCCAAACTGCCCTGCATAATCTGACCCTTACCTACCTACTTCTTTCCAGTCTTCCCCTTCCCTGCAGGGCCCCAGTCACTCTGGTGTTTGTCTTTCTGCAAACATGCCAACTTTGTTCTTGCCCTGGAGCCTTGTGTTAGAGTCTTGCTCTGCCTGGAAGGTTCTTCTGTGAAACCTGCAAAGCAGGCTTCTTACTGTACTTGGGCCCTTCCTGCGCATGTACTCTAGAGGAGCCGCCACAGGACTTTATTATAATTTATTTATTCATTTATCCATTACTAGTGCCCCAGCTCCTGATGTTCAATAGATATTTATTTCAAATAGAACATGTGGTCTTATATGTACTTAATGCTTACATTTCAATGACACTTTTCTAATTATTTTGTTTTACTTCTACAAACATATGAGCTAAAAGAAAACAGAACAGACCCCTATGGTTCCAAACTGAAAATTTCCTCTCCATCCTTTCCCATTCCAACTCCTCACACATATTTTGGAAGAGGTATCCCTGTTCTGTGAATAAAAGGAACTGTACCAGTTAGTTTTAGTATTTGTGATTTATCTGAAGTCTTGGAGTCATGTGCATCCAGTGACACAATAATTTCTGAGTATTCTAACCCAGAATGATTCTTTGGAGACATGGAAATGGTGCTGTTGGGTGCCAGTTTGTTCCCTGTTCTTGATCTGGAGACCTCCTGGTTCAGGATTTAGAAGGTGGAGGGAATGGGCTAGAACCAGGGAGGCAAATGGCAGGATCACTTCCAGTTTGGGTTTGTTTCCTGTGGATGCTAGGGCAACAGTAATGTGGTAGGAAGAACACTGGACCAGGCACAGGTACAGGGTCTAGGGCTGCTCTATATTCTTTTTCCTCCTCACCCCTGCTTATCAGTCCCTGATAAGGCAGAACTTGATCATCTTGAAGGGGAGACCCCGCTTGGAAATTCTTTGAGTTGATGAGAGGAGTCTGACATTTCATCATAATCATGACATCTGCGTAAAAGAATAACCTACGAAATATTTATGAAAAGCAGCTTTTGTAGGATTTCTCTGACTGATCAATGAGTTCGCCAGACAAATCCAGAACTCTGCTTTTGCCATTTCACTTTATTCTTCTATTTACTTTCCTAGAGAAGATGGTGCTCTAGAGATTGATATCTAACTGTAAGCGTACTTCATCCGTTCCCTAAGAGATGGGCTCCTACTGTATCTAATCTTGGCTAACACTCCCCCATCTGTTTTCAACATGTTGCATCTGACATTAACTAATGCCTCATATTAGCATTAAAAGAAAACAATCTGGAAAAATTCACTCTCAAGCAGAGTTCAAACAGGCCACAAGTAGACGTGGAATCTCAACTGCACTAGGTTTGTTAAAATAATGTAATCAATACATAAATATTTAATAAATGTTAATAAATATAATGTAAATATATATGTAGATATGCATCCATGCATATGTATGTGTATGCGTGAGTCTCTATATAGAGGTAGAGGTGTGTGTGTGTGTGTGTGTGTGTGTGTGTGTGTGTGTGGTGAAGCCCAAAGTCTATGAAATAGGTCAGGGGAACAGAGACAAGAATGTTTCTGTCTGATTTATGAAATTAACTGGCAACAGCAAAAGGAGAAATATTCTCTACAAAGAACTGAACGATATGGAAAAGAAAGTGGGAATCTTTATGCCACACTTACTGGTAGTGGGTTAAAATTCTGGTCCACCAGATGATTGTATCCATGATCAAAAAATGAGTGTCGTATCACAACATCAATGCCCTGATTGGCCAGCATTCCTAAAGTGTTGAGCCATCTATAAGGTAGAGGAAAAAAGCTACATCAGTACATTTCTAAAATGGCATGCAACAGATCTATACAGATTAACTATGACACACATATACACTAACATTCCTTCATCAAATTTACCTAGTACTATAAAGGAGAAAAATATTCTATGCATTGAATACACAGCTGTAAGAGATTTCAAAGATGACCAAATTTAATCTCTTTATTTTATAAGAAAAGAAACTGAGGCCCTGGGAAGTAAGATGAATCCCCCTTGGTCATAAAGTCACTGTTGATAATGACTTTTATTCCTAGAATACTAAAAACTGAACAACCTAGCCACTTGTGAATCTGATGTCATCTTCCATGGCCACAGGCTATTGCAGTCACAGGAGAACATCCTCAAACTCCCCTGCTTGCATCTGTCACTGTACATGTACCTTTCATGGGACTCTATCCTATATAGACCTGTGACCTACACAACAGTTGTCCAGCCATTTTCATCTTTCATATATCCCCACCAATAGCCAATTCAATAACATTTTATTTGGCACTATAATCAACTATTGAGGGATTCGAGTATACTACTATTCCACATGTGTTATAATGGAAGACCTGCGTTGCTCACACACTTATCTTATACCTTTCCTAGAGGGGCTGTCATCCTTCAAAAATACTGCCCTCTTGATTCCTCCAACAGTCACCAGTGACTTTGCATTTATTTATATATTCAATTCATTCATCCTCTCATGCATTCATTTTTCCTTTCTCACTCTGCATTCTTCTGAAACTCAGGGAAACATTTAACTGTAACAACAAAGTGCATATGTAATAAACGTGACTTCAAACTTCAATCTTCAGATGAAAGATGAGGCATTTCACAGGCTGTCCCGAGCACATGTGTGTCTGGCTTCACCTCCCCTCTTCTCTCACCCTAAACCCTATTCCTTAAGGCTCTAAACCACATAAAACTACTCTTGATTACCCAAAATGCACCACGATTTCTTGTACTTACCCAAGTCCTTATATGTGTGTTTACTTCTGCTTAGAATTCTCTTCCTGTCCTCCTCCAACCCATGTCTTTTCATTTGGCAAATTTCTTCCCATTTATTAATCTCCAAATCTGGTTCTTCTTCTAAACCCTGCTGCCCCAAAATAGCACCTTCCTCTAGACTTCTCCAGAACTCTTACTTCTGCCATGCCCTCTGCTAACCCACTGGATCATCACTACTTATCACCTCTTCCCCCACCAGTTGTGAGCTTATCAAGCATAGACACAATACTTAAACTTATACCCCAAACACCCATCATAGTTCCTGGAACACTGTAAGTGCTCAGTACTCTTTAGGTTGAATTTTTTTTCTTTCTTTCTTTTTTAAATCTGGATAAAATTAGATTCTAGGAAACTTAAGAATGACCATCCATCACATGGGGGAAATTACAGTTATAATTTCCCAAATCTGAAACCCTATGGAGCCCCAAACCCATGACTTGTATAAGAATTAAAATTTTTCCTTGCTGAAATAAAAAGTGCTGCTAATTTTTATATTCTAAATATTATGCACACTTTATAGTCTTTTTCACATTTTTAATTTTATTTATTCTCATAAAAACTAACACATAATTACTGATAGCATTACAAAAACAAAATAAAAAGTAAAGCAAAGCAAAACACAAAAACAAAAATTTTAAATCAAAAGGAAAATCTGACTATAATACAACAGAACCCTCTTTGTGTTTATTTTTGTTCAAATTGGGACATTGTGACCCAGACACCTGAAATTACTTTTTTTTATTTAGCATTTTTTAATTGGTTGTTCAAAACATTACAAAGCTCTTGACATATCATATTTCATACACTAGATTCAAGTGGGTTATGAACTCCCATTTTTACTCCAATTACAGATTGCAGAATCACATCGGTTACACATCCACATTTTTACATGATGCCATATTAGTGACTGCTGTATTCTGCTACCTTTCCTATCCTCTATTATCCCCCCTCCCTTCCCCTCCCATCTTCTCTCTCTACCCCATCTACTACAATTCATTTCTCTCCTTGTTCCCCCCGTCCCAATTCCCCTCACAACCTCTTATATGTAATTTTGTATAACAATGAGGGTCTCCTTCCATTTCCATGCAATTTCCCTTTTCTCTCCCTTTCCCTCCCACCTCATGTCTCTGTTTAATGTTAGTCTTTTCCTCCTGCTCTTCCTCCCTGCTCTGTTCTTAGTTGCTCTCTTTATATCAAAGAAGACATTTGGCATTTGTTTTTTAGGGATTGGCTAGCTTCACTTAGCATAATCTGCTCTAATGCCATCCATTTCCCTGCAAATTCCATGATTTGTCATTTTTTAGTGCTGCGTAATACTCCATTGTGTATAAATGCCACATTTTTTTTTATACATTCATCTATTGAAGGGCATCTAGGTTGGTTCCACAGTCTAGCTATTGTGAATTGTGCTGCTATGAACATCGATATGGCAGTATCCCTGTAGTGTGCTCTTTTAAGGTCTTCAGGGAATAGTCCGAGAAGGGCAATAGCTGGGTCAAATGGTAGTTCCATTCCCAGCTTTCCCAGGAATCTCCATACAGCTTTCCAAATTGGCCGCACCAATTTGCAGTCCCACCAGCAATGTATAAGAGTACCCTTTTCCCCACATCCTCGCCAGCACTTGTTGTTGTTTGACTTCATAATGGCTGCCAATCTTACTGGAGTGAGATGATATCTTAGGGTGGTTTTGATTTGTATTTCTCTGACTGCTAGAGATGGTGAGCATTTTTTCATGTACTTGTTGATTGATTGTATGTCCTCCTCTGAGAAGTGTCTGTTCAGGTCTTTGGCCCATTTGTTGATTGGCTTATTTGTTTTCTTACTGTTTAATTTTTTGAGTTCTTTGTATACTCTGGATATTAGGGCTCTATCTGAAGTGTGAGGAGTAAAGATTTGTTCCCAGGATGTAGGCTCCCTATTTACCTCTCTTATTGTTTCTCTTGCTGAGAAAATCTTTTTAGTTTGAGTAAGTCCCATTTGTTGATTCTAGTTATTAACTCTTGTGCTATGGGTGTCCTATTGAGGAATTTGGAGCCCGACCCAACAATATGTAGATCATAGCCAACTTTTTCTTCTATCAGGCGCAGAGTCTCTGATTTGATATCAAGCTCCTTGATCCATTTTGAATTCACTTTTGTGCATGGCGAGAGAAAGGGATTCAGTTTCATTTTGTTGCATATGGATTTCCAGTTTTCCCAGCACCATTTGTTGAAGATGCTATCCTTCCTCCATTGCATGCTTTTAGCCCCTTTATCAAATATAAGATAGTTGTAATTTTGTGGATTGGTCTCTGTGTCCTCTATTCTGTACCATTGGTCCACCTGCCTGTTTTGGTACCAGTACCATGCTGTTTTTGTTACTATTGCTCTGTAGTATAGTTTGAAATCTGGTATCACTATACCACCTGACTCACACTTCCTGCTTAGAATTGCTTTTGCTATTCTGGGTCTTTTGTTTTTCCATATGAATTTCATAATTGCTTTATCTATTTCTACAAGAAATGCCCTTGGGATTTTGATTGGCATTGCATTGAACCTATAGAGAACTTTGGGTAATATTGCCATTTTGATGATGTTAGTTCTTCCTATCCATGAACAGGGTATACTTTTCCATCTTCTAAGGTCTTCTTCTATTTCTCTCTTTAAGGTTCTGTAGTTTTCATTGTATAAATCTTTCACCTCTTTTGTTAGGTTGATTCCCAAGTATTTTTTTTTTTTTGAGGATATTGTGAATGGGGTGGTTGTCCTCATTTCCATTTCAGAAGATTTGTTGCTGATATACAGGAATGCCTTTGATTTATGTGTGTTGATTTTATATCCTGCCACTTTGCTGAATTCATTTATTAACTCTAGTAGTTTCTTTGTAGACCCTTTTGGGTCTGTTAGATATATTATCATATCATCCGCAAACAGTGATTTGAAATTACTTTTGGAATGTCACGTGGCTAAGTCACTTGCCTTATTATCATCCTGTGAAATCAGGATAACAAGTCGAAGTTTTCCCTTGGCATAGAGGGATGGCAGTTAGTTAACTTGTCAAACATGTCCTGTGGTAGAGTTATAGTGGAATTTTGAGTAAGTGCCTCTTAACTAGTGCTCTTTCCATGTTGGAACAGCACACATGTAATGGGGTCTCTATGGAGCAAGTAGTTATCTATAAGAAGAAGTATGTCTCTCTAGCCTTTCTAGCCTTATGCTTGTTGGATGAAAGAAGAAACAAAACAACGAGTATACAGGTAATCACAGATGCGAGAGCCCCTCCATCCAGCAGCGTCTATGTATCATACAGGGTTGTATCTTGGTGATTTTATTTGTGAAAAGATCCCATTTATTCCCTTATTCACTGTTCATTCAATAGTGTTAATTAATGAACTATAAACCCTGGGAATTATTTTCAACATTGAGGATACCTACTTATGCTTGTGTGATCATGTGTATCATTGGTAAAGCACTGGATGTGTAAATACCCGTGCATACACATTTACAGGAACAGTATCACATTCTTATTTGTGACCTCTTCAGAGTCTAACACAGGACTTGCACAGAATAGGTACTAAGCAAATAACCATCAATAACTAAACCTAATGTTTTGCTAGTGTATGGGTAGTTCTTGAAGAAAATGATTATGCTCAAGACCACTGCTGCCTTATGGCTTTCACAGTAGAATGGTGTACTGAAGTTATCTTCATCTTTCTGAAGATGATAATAATAATGTAATGATAAGCCCCAGGAGAGGGGCTTTTTGTTAGTCTTCCTTCTATGCTCAGGTAGAGAAACATGGTAAAATGACTGCATATCCCAACAAGGATGCTGTCCCAGCCATTATTTTCCATTCCACAAATGTTTATTGACTATCTATTATGTGCCAGACAACACTAGGTGCTGGAGACACAGTACCATGCCAAAGATATATCTGCCATATGCCACAGAATCTCAAATCCCTGACTGGAAATGCTACCTTTGAATACTTGTTAG